GCACTAACCGTTTGTCCATGGCCGGAAGGAAGTGGCCTGCTCGGTGGTGCGTCAGGACGTCCCGTGGTTCTGGTGGAGCGCAACCGTGCGGAGAATCTACGGGGTAGTGTGTCCTACCCATTCAGTGAGTGCCGATGGGAGTTTCAGACATAGGAAGATGAAAGGCCCCATCGACCTTTCGAACACATGCGTATCCATTACTTACTTTCGTGAGCAATCGAATAGTGTTCTTGGGCAGCCGTAATTATCTCAATGATGGCGACTTACCCCAACGTCCGCCTAGAACGCTTGGTTTCCGTCTCTTGATGGCCAAAGCCGTGCACGGCCCCGCACTGTAAATACACGAGGCACAGCGATTTTTCAAATTCTAATGCACCAAGCCGGGAACTAACGGGCGACGGCAGGCCTGAGGACATTGACAGACCAACCGCCAGCACATTATACACGGCAATTACTACTAAACGCGAGATATATCCTGATATGCAAAATTACGAATCCGGCGAAGGTCCTGACAGTATGGAACTACGTGCTCGACATCCTGCATGACCTCGGCCTCTCACTGAACATGGACAGACGTCATGATATAGCAGTCCGTTTCCAAATGAACCCTACGAAAACGGCGATGCCGTAGTTGCCGACTACCGGCAGCAATCCCGGGAATTCCTGTCCAAAGGCCGGGAGTACCTGGAAAGTGGAGACTTGCACCAGGCTGCAGAAAAGGGCTGGGGTGCGGCCGCGTGGATGGCCAAGGCCGTAGCAGAGTCCCGAGGCTGGAAGTACGCCCGGCACGACGAGTTCTTTACGGTGATGTATCAGGCTCAAGATCTAACTGGGGACACACTATTGCGGAACCTGGGACACGGCCACAAACGCTTCCGGATAACGTTAATAACCCTAAGCGGTTCCTGCGCCCAGAGATTATCGGCGAGAGTCTCACCGACGTCGAACAACTGCTGGACATTCTGCAGCCGTTGACGGAGGGGTCGTAACAGGCCCTCTCCCCGCTAGTGCCTCCCGCCGGTCCGGCGCTGCCTTGATCGGGCCATCATGAACAGCAGCACGAGGCACATCCCTCCGCCGCTGCCCAGCAGCACCACCGATGCGACGTCCGACAGGACTTCCGCCCCCGCCACGGCTTGCGATACCTCCTCCAGCGCCACCGCCACGGCTCCCGTCATGATCAGCAACCCGTAGAGGAACCGGATCCGCGACGGATCCACCCTCTGCGTGGCGCTGGCTCCGAGTTGCGAGCCAATGGACGCCGCCGCCAGCATCAGCACGGCCATGAGCGGGTCACGCGGTCAGACAGGGCGTAGGCGAACGACCCAACCGACCCGGTGATTATGATCTGAAACAGGTCGGTGCCGATGGCGATGGTCGTGGGTATTCCCAGAACAAAGATCAGCACAGGCATCAGGATAAATCCCCCGCCCGCTCCCAGCAGACCGGCGATGAACCCGATCCCGAACCCGATGCCCATCGGCACGAAAACCGATATCCGCTCGATGCCCGAGACGGGCAGGGCAACGTAGGTGGAGATGCCGCCCACACCCGGTATGCCGACACGGTGCGGCGGAATTCGCAGGGAGCGAACTTTCTGGGTGAGCCCGGCGGTGGTGATGTCCTCGCCCTCGGCTCGGCTGCTGCCCCGGCGCATCCAGGTACGCCAGAAGTCGTAGAGGATGAACAGCCCCAGCGACGCCAGGAATCCCACGTAGATGTAGCGGATGACCGGTCCCGCGATCCCTGCCGCCTCCAGCGTCCCGTTCACCCACTCCGCCAGGAAAATGGCGGGGATGGTGCCGGTAACCATCAGCGCACCCAGCTTGAAATCGACGTTGCCGAGGTTTCGGTGCTTCAGGGTGTTGATGATGGAGGTGCCCATCACCAGCGTCAGGCCCGTACCCACGGCGTACACCGGCGGCACCCCGAACACCAGCAGCCCGCCAGTGATGAGAAACCCGCCTCCAACACCGAAGAACCCACCCAGCATCCCGACTATCAGCCCCAGGAACACGAGCAGGGCCGGGTGAATAACAACGTCGGCGTTAGGAAAGTACATCGTCCCTGTCCGCCCGTCTCCGTCCTCCCCGCACCAGGCCGAGGGCCCGAAATACCCCTCCCCAAAAGATGCTCAGGGAGAGCGCCGCCACGGCCATCACTCCCAGAACGAATAGCGCCCACAGCAGGGGCTGCCCTGAGCTGAGGCCGGTCAAGAACTCGTTCATTTCTCCACTGGGCTATACTGAAATCGCATTGGGAGATGATAATGCAAAACCAGACCACCGGACAGCAGAAATGACCACATCGGCCTTCTCTTTCCAGTTGCAGCACTCCGACGGGTCGGCCCGCGCCGGGGAGATACACACCCCCCACGGGCCGGCGCCAACGCCGCTGTTCATGCCGGTGGCGACGCAGGCAACGGTGAAAAGCCTGACCCCGGAGGAAGTTGCCGGCATCGGCGGACGGGTCGTGCTGAGCAATGCCTACCACCTGTACCTGCGCCCCGGCGTCCAGACCGTGAGCTCTCTAGGCGGCCTGCACGGGTTCATGCGCTGGCCGGGGCCCATCCTGACCGACAGCGGCGGATTCCAGGCCTTCAGCATGGGCTCCCTGCGCAAGGTCACCGACGCGGGCATCCGGTTTCGCTCACACCTGGACGGCAGCGAACATCACTTCACCCCCGAGCTCGCGACCATGAACCAGGTCGGGCTGGGCGCAGACATCATCATGTGCTTCGACCAGTGCATCGCCTACGGCGCCAGCGAGAGGCAGGTGCGGCAGGCGATGGAGCGCACTCACCGCTGGGCCGCCCAGTGCCACCGCGTACACCGCGACTCGGGCGCATGGCCGGGTCGGGCCCTTTTTGGCATCGTGCAGGGCGGCACCTTCTCCCACCTGCGCGATGAATCGACCCAGGCCATCACGGCCATACCCTTCGACGGCTACGCTGTGGGCGGGCTGGCAGTGGGCGAGGACAAGGAGCAGCTCTATGGGTTCACCGGTCAGGTCGCGGCCCAGTTGCCGCAGGACAAGCCCCGCTACCTGATGGGCGTCGGCTCGCCGGAGGACCTGGTCGAGGGAGTTGCGAGGGGCATCGACATGTTCGACTGCGCCCTGCCCACGCGCGTCGCGCGAAACGGGGCAATGTTCACGCCGGACGGCCGCGTCGATGTTACAAAGCGGCGGTTTGCCGAGCAACACGGCCCGGTGGACGAGGAATGCGACTGTTATGCCTGCGCCAACTACTCCGCCGCCTATGTCCACCACTTGTTCCGCGCCAAGGAGATTCTCGGGCTGCGGCTGGCGTCAACGCACAACCTGCGCTTCGTCCTGAGGCTGATGGAGCGGATACGGGAAGCTATCCTGGAGGAGAGGTTCACCAGCTTCAGCCGCGAGTTTCTGGACCGCTACCGGCCCACCGACGAGACGGCGCGCCAGGAACAGAAGCTGCGCTGGCTGCAGGAACGAGGAACGTAGTAAAGGGCGGACCAATCATCCGCCCTTCTAACGCAGGCTTGGCTACACATTGCCCTGCACCCATAGGACCACGCAGGGCGCGATCTCCGTTCAGCGAACTGGGGTGCTTAGCGGCCGCCGGCCACCGCCGGAACGATACTGACCTCGTCGCCGGAACTGGTGGTAGTGTCCAGGCCGTCCAGGAAACGCACGTCCTCGCCGTTCAGGTAGATGTTGACGAAGTAGCGCAGCTCGCCATTTTCGTCCAGCAGGCGATCCTTGAATCCGGGATAGGATCCCTCCAGTTCATCGACCATGGCGGACAGGTTGCTGGAGTCCACCTCCACCTTGTCCTTCCCGTTGGTCATCCGCCGCAGCGGGGTGGGAATACGAACCACGACGCTCATCAGGGAAACTCCTCCCAGTTAGTTGGGAATGAATTGTGCAATATTCGGCAAAACGGCGGTATCGCCGCAGGTTATCCAGTGCTTATTTAAGCGGCTATCCCCCGACAAAGCGGCTGGCAAACACCGCCACACAAGCAGGCGCCGCTGGCGGCCAACACCGTGTAAAACAACCGATCAATCCTCCGGTTCGTTTCCCGGAAGCCATTGTCCATATCGGTTCTGAGGTCTCGCTGTCCGTCCTTTAAGTCCCGTTGTCCTTCCAGCAAGGCAGACGCAGTGCCTTCCAACCGCCCTATGGCACGCCACAATTCGGCGTAGTCGGAGGGTGGAATTTCGGGTTGCGTCGTTAATGGATCGGCGCTGGTGGTCATCTGTTATCTCTTGTTGACAGCCTGGCCGTCCAGGGCCGCCTCGAAGGACGTTATCGAGGGCTTGATCGAGAGCGGGTTGACCACCTCGTCCTCGACGGCCTCCTGGGTCTTCAGGCCGTTGCCGGTGATGTAGACGACCGTCAGCTCGTCTGCGCCGATCGCGCCCTGCTGAGCCAGGTGGGCGAGGGCCGACACGGTTACGCCGCCTGCCGTCTCCGTGAAGATGCCTTCCGTCTCTGCCAGCAGCCGGATACCGCTGACGATCCGGTCCTCGGGAACGGCATAGGCCGAGCCACCTGAGTTGTTGATGACTCGCAGCGAATATATGCCGTCGGCCGGGTTGCCGATGGCCAGCGATTTCGCCAGGCTGTCGGCCCGCACCGGCGTTATGCGTGCATCGTCGTTGTCCCACGCGTTGACGATGGGCGAGCAGCCCTCGGCCTGCGCCATGTGCATCCGCGTGGTGACCGCCGGGTGATGCACCGTGTTCTGGTCGGGGCCGAATGAACTGGCCTCAACGCCGTCCAACAGGCCGAGACAGGCCAGCTCGTTGAAGCCTTTCCAGATCTTGGTGAACATTGCTCCAGATGCTGAAGGTACAACAACATGATCGGGCACACGCCAGCCCAACTGTTCCGCCACTTCGTAGCCCAGCGTCTTGCTGCCCTCTGCGTAAATAGGGCCGCATGTTGATGTTGACGAAGGCCCAATTATAGTCGTCGTTGTCTGCCAACTCGCTGCACAGGCCGGTTGACCTGATCGTAGGTGCCGTCAACGGCCACCAGCGTCGGGCCATAGATGGCGGCGCCGATGATCTTTCCCCGCTCCAGTCGGACGGGATGAACACCACGGCCCGCATTCCGGCGCGGGCGGCATGCGCGGCGACGCTGCAAGCCAAGTTGCCGGTGGAGGCGCAGGAAATCGTCTCGAATCCGAATTCCACTGCCTTGGTGGCCGCCACCGATACGACACGGTCCTTGAAGGAGAACGACGGGTTGACGCTGTCGTTCTTGATGTACAGGTTGTTCAGACCCAGCCGCTTGCCCAGGTTGTCGGCCTTGATGAGCGGCGTGAAGCCCGCCATGATATCCACGCGGTTCTCGCTCTCGGCGGGCAGGAGATCAGCGTACCGCCAGATGCTCAACGGCCCGGCGGTGATGCGGTCGCGGCTCACCACCTCGGAGATGGTGGCGTAGTCGTAGACCACTTCCAGCGGGCCGAAGCAGAAATCACAGACGTTCAGGGGATCGGCGGGCTGTTCGCGCCCGCACTCCCGGCATTTGAGTCCACTAACGAAAGCCACTGCCCTTGGTTCCTCCTCTCCGATCAGAGACCGGAGTAAGCCCCCGAGATAAGGCTCCGCCCCACCACGGCAGGCGCAAAAAACGCCTGACACAATCCGCCCCAGGCTGTTGCGATGGTAGCAAAGCCCCCCTACCTTGTCAATCAGATTGCAGGGTGCGGCGCAGGTGGGTATCCTCAAATCTGGAGCAGCCAAGCTCACGTCGGAGTACCCGTCCATGATCGATTACGGCAATTTCAGGCGCTCCCTGAAAAACCTCGAATTGCAGAACGCCAACCGCAAGCAACTGCCGTTGGACTTGCCCAAATTGATTCACGAGGGTATCGACGAATCTGTCATACAGCGGTTTGAAGTCTGCTACGATTCCCTCTGGAAAACACTGCGCCGCTATCTCATAGACGAGATGGGGTTTGCCACCATCTCGGGATCTCCCAGGACAGTCATGCGCACAGCCGGAGAAAACGGGCTCTGGATTCGCCAGTGGAGCGCTGGATGGAATACATCAACCTGCGCATCGGCACTGCCCACGATTACAGCGGCGAGAAAGCCGCCGCGGCATTGGAGCGGGTGGACGATTTCATCGCAGACGCCATCGGTCTATACCAGGTCATCACGGGGGAGACATGGGAATAGGCCAAAGCGCCGGAGCCGGGGCGACCATCGACCTGCCCCCAGCTCACCTGAGTCTCGTGCAGGAGATGCTGAAGGCCCATCTACCCGGCGTGGCGGTGTGGGCCTACGGCTCGCGCGTAAAGGGCAACGCCCGGCCTTACTCAGACCTGGACCTTGTGGCGTTCACCGAGGCGGGACACGCGTCCCAGTTGAACGCTTTGCGAGAGGCTTTTGAGGACAGCGATCTGCCCTTTCGCGTGGACCTGTTTGCCTGGCCCGAAACACCCCCGTCATTCCATTCCCAGATCCTGAAGGATCACGCGGTGCTGCAACAGGGAACAGAGTAGATCGAGAGAATTCTCCGCACTTTTTAAAATCCGGCTCAAAGGATTGGGCCACGTTGCATCCAATGGTATAATCGGCGGCGTTTACGGCCCGTCGCGGCGCGCGGCGGCCCCGGTTCCGATTAGCGAGGTCAGCGCGGAGCCGAATTAACGGGAGCTATCCGGGTTTCGGGTTCGAGAGACGTCCGTGGACCAGATTCGCCGCTACATAACCTTCCTGCAGGAATATTCCATCCCGCTCATCCTGGGCGTGATTGTCGCCCTGGTCTGGGCCAACATCGACTTTGACAGCTACCACCACCTGGTGGAGTTTGATTTCTGGAATATCGGCAAGGGTCCGTTCCTCGACGATGGCGAACATCACGACCTGAACGACTTCTACATCTTCGGCAAGCACGTCACCGTCCACTTCCTGGTCAAACGAAGTCTTCATGGTCTTCTTCTTCGGCATCGCGGCCAAGGAGATTACCGAGTCCATCCTCCCCGGCGGCGCCCTGAACCCCATCCCCAAGGCCATCAACCCGCTGATGGGCACCCTCGGCGGCGTGTTCGGTCCCGTGGGTCTGTTCCTCCTGATGGCCGTCCTGTTCTACGGCGGCACCGACGAGTTAGGTAGAATGTACCCAGCCGAGGGCGTCCTCGGCGGCTGGGCCATCCCGACGGCCACCGACATCGCCCTGGCCTGGCTGGTGGCGCGGGTGATCTTCGGCGCCCGGCACGCGGCGGTGAACTTCCTGCTGCTGCTGGCGGTGGCCGACGACGCCATCGGGCTGGTGATCATCGCCGTGTTCTACTCGGACAACGTGCAGCCCCTGTGGCTGCTGATGACGCTGGGCGGTATGGTCGCGGCCTACGCCTTCCGGCGTATCGGCATCACCTGGTGGCCGGTGTACATTTTTATTGCTGGCGGCATGAGCTGGGTTGGCCTCGTCCTCGCGGGAGTCGAACCGGCCTTGGCCCTCGTTGTGATCGTGCCGTTCCTCCCCGCTCTCCACGCACCGGCTCAGGAGGAAGATCCTGCGATCGAGGAGCACGCCGAGCACGGGGAGGAGGAGCTGGCGACGGCCCACGAACACGCTGCCTCCAGCCACGGGCACGCTATGGGCACGCTGGAGAAGTTCGAGCACCACCTCAAGCTGCCGGTGGACTTCGGGCTGTTCTTTTTCGCCTGGGCCAACGCCGGTGTCGCCTTCGGCAACATCAACTCGGTCACTTTCATGATTCTGATTTCGCTGATAGTAGGCAAGACGGTCGGCGTGTCATTGTTCTCGTTCGTAGTGTCTAGGCTGGGCTTCCCGCTTCCCGAGGGCATGAGCCTTCGGCACCTGATGGTGGCGGGCTTGATCGCGGGGCTGGGGCTGACGGTGGCTCTGTTCGTGGCCAACAAGGCGTACTACGGCACCGACTTCCTGGACCCCGGCAAGATGGGAGCGGTGTTCAGCGTGGTGGTGGCCGCGCTGGCCTTCGCCCTCGCTCGCGTGCTCGGCATTCGCCGCGAGCAGGACTAGCGCATCAGGAACATTCAAGAGGGCGCGGAGCATTGACATGCAAGCTCCGCGCTCTTGGCTTTTAATTTCTGAAACTGGAGACGACAGAATGATAGGTGTACTGACCCACCACTGGGCCAAGCCCGACAAGGTCGAGGAAGCCAAGACGCTACTGGACGGCAACGGGCTGGCGCAGAGCAAGGCCCCCGGATTCGGCAGCCGGCAGACCCTGATTCTCTCGCCGACCCGACCAAGATCTCCACACTGGTCACTTGGGACAGCAACGAGATCTACGACGCCTGGCGTGCCAGCCCCGAGCGCGCCGTCGCCATGGCCGGCGCCAACGAGCTGTGGGCCCAGCCGCCTGAGTCCGAGCGGTTCGACATGGTGGACTAGCGAACCCCCGGGCAGGTGACAGCGCTGGACCCAATGCCGAACGGCACCGAATTCAGACGGGCTGGCAGGCGAGAGCAGGAGAGGGTTGAATGAGCCGCAGAAGTTTCTGGGCCTGGGGGTTGGAGCAGGACGAGCCCACCGGCCAGCAGGTCCGCGAGGCCGCCGCCCGGCTGTCACAGCGCTACGGCGTTGAGGTCGAGCCGGTAATGCCGCCCCGGGCCGAGGACCTGCGCCTCAGGGCGCCCCGCATCAGTCCGCCGTCTGCACTGGCCGCCATCTGCTCTAGCGACGACCACGACCGGGCGGTGCATACCTACGGCCGTAGCTTCCGCGACCGCATCCGCGCCTTCAACCTGCAGTTCCCCAACCCGCCCGACATCGTTGCCCGCCCGACCATCGAGGACGAGGTTATCGCGGTGCTGGACTGGTGCTCCTCATCGGGCCATGCCGCCATACCCTACGGAGGAGGCAGCTCGACGGTGGCGGGCTTCGAGCCGCCCGATGGCTACGACGGCATCGTAACCATCGACCTGTCGGCGCTGGACCAGGTACTGGAGGTGGACGACATCTCCCGCGCTGCGCGAATCCAGGCAGGCGCCTACGGCCCTGGCCTGGAGGCCCAGCTGCGCCCCCACGGGTTCACGCTGCGGCACTACCCGCAGAGTTTCGAGTACTCATCGCTGGGAGGGTGGATCGCCACTAAACGCGTCCGGTGGCACAACGGCGCCGAATCACACCACATCGGACGATTTGTCGAGGCGGTGCGTATGTGCACCCCACGCGCGTGTGGGAGTCGCGGCGAGTGACCGGCAGACGGCGCGCCGCCCCAGACCCGAGACCGCATGGGACTCATCGCAGACGGAGGCATCCTGGCATAATCACCGAAGCTGGATGCGCGCATACCAGGCCGCGGCCCCAGTACCGGGCTCGGCTGCGTTACCATACCCGCTTGCGGCAGGCTCCGAGGCGCCGCCCACAGTATGTATCCAAGCCGCTCCTGGCCCGCCAATTGCCGCCTGCTGGACCCGGGCGAAGCCGCCGCCGCGGCTGGGATGGACGGCACCCGCGCCCTGCTGATTCTGGGATTCGAGTCCAACGAGCTGCCCCAGGACGAGAACATTCGCCAAGCCGTGGCCATCGCCCGCGATGCCGGCGGCATCATAGACGAGGCGACAGCCCGCCTCTCGCCGGATACCGCGGGGATGAGCTCCTCGGCGGCGCGACAACGGACGGCGGAGCATGTGGGCCAGCGTGGCGCAACGCCTTCCTGGGCGCACCCTACCAGCGAAACATCACCACCGGCCTGGGACTGGTGGCCGAGACGCTGGAGACGGCCATCACCTGGGAGCGCTGGCCCGCAATGGACGAGATGGTTCGCGGCGCGCTGCAGGATACGCTGGACCGGGTCTGCGGCGGAGGGTCAGTGTCCTGCCGCTTCACCCACGTTTACCCCGACGGCCCGGCACCCTACTACACCTGGGAGGGTATGGGGAGGCGCGGCAGACCGAGCTGGAGCTGTACGCGAGATCAGTCAGTGCCGCGTCCGACGCGATCATGGCCGCCGGAGGCACCATCACTCACCACCACGCCGTCGGCCGTCTGCACCGACCCTGGTACGATCAGCAGCGCCCCGAGCTATTTGCCGAGGCGCTGAAGGCCGCCAAGCGGGCGGTTGACCCCAACGGTGTCCTGAACCCGGGGCTGCTGGTCGATTTGGACTAGAGGTCTGGCATCTCCAAAAAGACTTGGCTGGAATTCTCACCCTCGATGTTCGGTTCTGGTCGACCCGGTTCCACGGGCCAACGGTTTCCAAGAGCAAAATAATCAAAAAGACAAACGCTGTTCATTCACCTGTCAGTCTGTAAATTCTTCGGAGTCAGGCGACTCCAGGATAATCGACCTGAGGTTTCCGTTGTTATCCCTCAAAAATGAGGCAACCAGCTCACTAGTCTCAGCATCGAATATACCGTCTGGGGTAACAACCAGGTTCCTCCCATCTTCCAAAGGGACAAGAATTGCGGCTTCGGAGATAGCGGTCAGCGTGGGGGATCCACCGGCCTCGTATCTGACCATAGCGTCGCTGATTTCTACGGTCGCAGACGCCGTTCCTGTGGATGCCGGCTCATCAGCCTTAAATTTAAGTCTCTCCTCACGAGCCTCTTTCAGACCTTTCTCCACACCCTCCTCGCGTCCTTTTTCTCTACCCTCTCTCAAACCCTCCAGATACGCTTTCTCGATATCCTCCCTCCGTTTCTCCAGTGCCCAGAACATTAGTTGCTTTCTCCTGCAAAATAATTCATTTCATATCACTCCTCATGTTCATCGGATGGTTGCTGCTGTTCCGCGTGGAAAGCTTCTTGCCGCCCCTGTTCACGACCTTCCCTGCGTCCCTGTTCGATTCCATCCCGACGAGCCTTGTCGACATCTTCGTCCCGTCGAATCAAGATCCATACCAGTCTGCCAACCCTTTCCACCAGAAAAGCAGACGTGCCGTAGACTACAGCACCAAACGGGGCCACTTGCCCCGCTACTATCAAGTGATCCTGGCTGCGCCACCATTCCCAGTTTCCTGCCGCAAATCCCAAAAGCAACCACGTCGCAGTCACAGTCCCAATCGGGGCAAATGCCAGATGGTAACTAAGCCAGTTGTAACTAATCCATCGTCCGGCTAGACTTCGCCTCCGAGCAAACATTATCAGGCGGCCCGCACATATGTCCCTAGGCGGTTGCCGCTCTATCACCCTCCATGTAACACCACATCACCAAAATCTCTAGGCAAAAAACTCGCAAAATATTTCAGTTTTTATTTAAGATTGTTCTCTAATTTTGACATTATGCAGCACTATTGACGTTTTCGGGGCCAGTTCAAATAGTGCTAAACGAATTCCCCGTAATTCCCCGTATGGGATGCCCGCTACCATCGGGGCTTATCTTGTACCCACGGCAAGTCTAAATTACTACTTGGATTAGGGCGACTTTGCGCACACAAAACCCTGCCCGTGTCCTTTTTTCGCAAATGCACAAATCTAGGTGAAAATTTACTTGACAGGCTCTTAGCCAAACTCCCCGGCCTGAACTGGAGGGTCGACCCAAAATGCTGTACACGCGATATACGAAAATGTTCAACCTCGACTACCCCGTGATGAATGCGCCCATGTCGAACCACAGCGGTGGCCGCCTGGCGGCGGCGGTGTCGGTGGCGGGCGGATTGGGCACATTCGGCGGTACCAACGACCTTGGCCCTGAATGGCTCAGGCAGCAGATTGCCCACGTCCGGGGCCAGACTGATCGGCCCTTCGGCGTCGGGTTCATCAACCAGCTCATCCAGTACGACACGACGAACATTGAGATAGCCCTCGACGAACAGGTGCCGGTTTTCATCTTCTCCTTCGCCGACCCCGACCCATGGCTGGGCCGCGCCAAGGAGGCCGGAGCCATCACAATCTGCCAGGTCCAGTCTCTGGAGCTGGCAAAGCAGGCAGTCGATGCCGGCGCAGACGCGCTGATGGCCCAGGGCAACGAGGCCGGTGGTCACACCGGCGAAATAAACCTGCTGCCCCTGCTGGTCGACCTGGTAGAACGGTATCCCAACATCCCCGTGCTCGCCGCTGGCGGCATCACCACGGGCCGGGCACTGGCCGGAGTGCTGGGCGCCGGGGCCGAGGGCGCGTCCCTGGGCACGGCCATGCTGGCGACACCGGAGGCAGTTGAGGTCCCCGACACATTCAAGGAGAGGATCGTCCTGTCCGACGGCCAGGACACCACCTTCACTCGCCTCTACGACCTGCTGGGCGCCCGCCCCTGGCCCGATGGCATCGCTGGCCGAGTCTACCGAAACCGCCTGGTGCGCGAGTGGGACGGCCGCGACGCCGACATCCTGGCCCACCGCGAGGAGCTGACCTCCGACGTTGCCGCCGGCCGAGCCAGTGGGGATACCTCGGTCTCGGCGGTGTACATGGGGCAGGGGGCGGGCCACATCAACGCAATCCGGCCCGCGGCAGAAGTGATGAAAGACATCTGCGAGGGAGCGGAGAACATCCTCAGAGGCTTGCCGGACAGATTCCGGCAGCAAGGCTAGTCATTCCCGGCCACCCCCACGAAACATTATTGAAACAATTGGGTGGCGGGAGTAGAATGGGCCATCTCCTCGGCATACTCCCCGGCAGTGGTACTTGATGTTCGGTTTCGGCATGCGGCCCGAGGGCCTCGTCATCGGTAACAAGCGCGTTCATTACGCTTGGGTGATCGTCGGCGTCGCCACGGTGATGTGGATGACCAGCTCCAGCATGCGCTTCGCCGTGGCAATCCTCGTGCCGGAACTCGAGGAGCTTTTCGGCTGGAGCCTCACGGTCATCACCGCAGGATTCACTGTCCAATGGCTGATGTCGGCGGCGCTGAGTCCTATCTGCGGATGGCTGGGCGACCGTTACGGTGTGCGGCGGGTGATGTGGGGCGGCGGGCTGCTGTTCATGCTCGGCATGGTCATGACCGGCATCATGACCAGTTGGTGGGAATTTTACCTGTACTTTGGCCTCGTGCTGGCGGCGGGCATGGCCGCCTTCCAGGTCACTCTGGTCTCCGGCGTCACCCTCTGGTTCCGCAAAAACCTGGGACTGGCTATGGGCATACTGCAGGCCCTGCAGGGCCTCGGCACCGGATTGGCCATCCTGATGGTGTACCTGCTGTACGAACGGTACGGGTTGCAGGTAACCTTCTGGGTACCGGGGATCGCCGGTGGTTTCATCCTCCTGACCCTGACCAAGTGGTTCTATAACGAGCCGGCGGACCGGGGCATCACCCAATGGGGAGCACCCGACGACGAACCGGTGCGCCGCCTCCAGAACAACGCCATCGCCAAGCTGCGCACCGGCGTCTTTCTGAAGCAGGTGCAGAAGACCTCCGCGTTCTGGAACTTGGCCACCATCCACGGCCTGGGGTGTGCGGGGCACAACATCATTCTGATCCTGCTCGTTGCCATCGCCATCGACGACGGTATTTCCAGTGGCGTGGCAGCGATGGTCTACCTGTCCCTCACTGTGGTCAGCACCGCCACCCGTTTCGCCACCCCCGTCATCGCCGATATTGTCGGCAGCAAGGTGGTCATGGGCATCTGCTTTGCCCTCCAGACATTCCCCATTCTGATTCTGTTCGTTGCCGGCGACAGCGTGTCTCTCTACTTCCTGTTCGCCGTGCTATTCGGCATCGGGATGGGCGGAGAGATGACGGCCTTCCCCGTCATCAACCGCCAGTACTACGCTGACGCGCCCACCGCCACAGCGTATGGATGGCAGATGATGGGCGCTGGCCTCGGTATGGCGTTGGGCCCGGTGTCGGCGGGATTCCTGCGCGACTTCACTGGCTCCTACGTTTCTTCTCTTTGGCTGTCTTTCGGTCTCAGCGTCTTTGCGGTCGTTGCCATCCTGTTCCTGCCCAGCACCAAGCGCCTGCAACTGCCCAACTGGGAGGAGGCCTTGCCACCGGAGGCCCGCACCGGCATAGCCGCTGCCACGATCGCACAGCCCCAGTCCACCGCGCCCTCCGCGCAGCCCGCAGGCGCCACCGGCGACGGGGACGGCGACGGGGACTGACCACTGCCACCACCAAACTCCGGCCATTCGCTCCCAAGTGGGGAGGATTCCCCGCAGGGCCTGGCCATCTCCGCTACGGAGCTGAGCAGCTACGCCGGCTTCAACTTTTGCAGCCGTTGCGCATGGATCCGGATGCATGTCAGACCGTTGCCCTGGCAGGGCTTCCCCGGGATCTTCAGCAGCATCGACCGGTACACCAAGCGGGTAATACTCGGCCACCTCGAACGCAGGGGCCGTCTGCCGTCGTGGCTGTCCGGGATCGGAGACGCCAGCGGCCACATCGACCCTCCCCACTGGTCGAAATTCAAGGCCGACGATGAAACAACAGGCGTAACACTGCGCGGCGAGGCAGATGCCGTCTTCCAGCTAACCGACGACACCTGCGCCATCATCGACTACAAGACGTCCCGCCACAACCCGGACAACCGGAGCCAGCACCGCGTTTACCGGGCCCAGCTCAACGCCTACGCCTGGATCGGACATCGTCTCGACTTCCCGCGGGTGTCCAAGCTGGCCCTGGTCTACATGGAGCCAGCCACCGATGACGACACGCTCAACACTCCGGAGCTGGTGACCGCCTCAGGTTTCGACCTGGGCTTCAACCCCAGAGGGTGGTCGAGGTCGACCTGGACCCCGAGCGCCTTATACCGCCGCTGCTGCGACAGGCGGCCCGCATCCACTCCCTTACCGCCTCACCCGACGCCCGCGACGGCTGCCGCGACTGCGCCGCGTTGGAAGGGCTGCTGAGCGCATTGGGCCACTGACTCGGCGGCTCGGTATAATAGAATCAACAGTATCCATCAGGCGTCAGGGGAACGAGATGACGACTGCCAAAAACAAGCTGCTGACCGCCGAAGATCTGCTGAGGCTCAGTGGGGAAGGCGTCAAGGGCGAACTGATCAGGGGAGTATTGCACGAGACCGTGTCAGTTGGAAAAGTACACGCGCGCATAGCCATTAGAATTGGCGGTGAATTTGACCGCCACGCGAGGAGCCACAGGCTGGGACAAGTTGGTGGTTCAGATGGCGGTGTCCTGATTCAACGAAACCCGGACACGGTAAGAGAGCCGGATGTTTACTTTGTGTCAGTGGAGCGGTTGTCCCTTGATGACGATTCCGACGGATATCTCGAAGTGGTACCGGAGCTCGTGGTAGAGATCGTTTCACCCAACGACGCCGAGCGGGATGTCAATGAGAAGATAGGAATGTGGCTGGACCATGGCGTATCCATGGCGCTGGAGGTCCGACCGGCTGGCCGCGCGATTGTGGTGCACCGCCCCGGCGTTCCAGCCGTAACGCTGACCGGCAACGATGTGCTGGACGGGGGCGACGTGCTGCCGGGGTTCACACTACCCCTCAGCGAGATTTTCGACGTCTAATACCCCTCAACAAGGAACATCACCCTCGTATATTCCCTCGTCAACCTGCAACTGGCGTACGTAGCAGATGATGTTGTTAACGTCGCCCTCCGACAATCCAGGGCGAGGCGCCATATCCCCGAACACCCAGTGATGTTGTGGTACACCGTTGTTTACGGCGTTGTGGAAGGCGAAATCCGGGTGATGGTTGGGGTTGTAAATCGCATGCACCAGCGGCGGCCCGGTCTGCGTTCCAACCCCCGCCGGGCCGTGACAGACTGAGCAGTTGGTATTGAACAGTGACTCGCCCTGCCGGAATGCGCCGAAGCCATCGTCGGCGATTCCCCCAGCTGACTCGCCGCCCCCTGAGCAGGCGGAGATGAGCAGCACGGCCAACACCGCTACCGTCCAGTAGACACGACCCAGTGTGATTCTGTTCATCCGCAACCCTGTTCTCTTATTGGTCGTCGTGTCCCACCCTAGGTGCTGGCGCGTCCCCGGCGCAGGGCGCGGCCCGGCAGCACGCCGGTGTTCTCGCCATGGTCGATGACCACCCGGCCGTTGACGATCACGTAGTCTATGCCGACAGGGTACTGTTTGGGGTCCTCCTTGGTGGCCAGCGCCTTGACAGTGGTTGGGGTTGAATACGACGATGTCGGCCTTGAACCCGTCGCGCAGGATGCCCCGGTCAGGCAGGCCGAGCGCTGGGCCGGGAAGGATGTCATCTTACGGATGGCCTCGGGCAGCTTCAGGTGCTGCTCCGCCCTCACAAACTCGGCCAGCACGATGGGAAAGCAGCCGTAGCTGCGCGGGTTGGGGTACTCGCCGAACAGGATCGCGTCGCTGGCGATCATCCCGGCCGGGTGCGACACGAAGGCGAACAGCGTCTGCGCGTTGGTGCCCAGCCCCACGGTGGAAATGCCCAGGTTCTCCTCCAGCAGCAGGTCGAACAGCGCATCCTCCGGGTCCTGGTCGCGCATCTCGGCGATATCGGTGATCAGGCGGCCGTCGTACTGCTTGTTCTGCGGCTGGGTGAAGTTGGTCAGCCAGTTGTTCTCCAGCCGGTCGCGGGAAAGCTCGCGCTTCATCCGCTGCGGTCGTCCTGGTCCGCAGGGCATCCATCAGACGCTCCGGGCCGCCGTCCTTGGCCCAGTGGGGCAGCCGATGGTCACCGTGGTGCCGGAATACGGGTATGTGTAGCAGTCGAAGGTCACATCCATGCCCTCGTCGCGGCCCCGTTCCACCAGTCCCAGGTAGTCCAGGTGGCTCCCGACCCCGGACGCGCCCTGCCGGTAGTGGGTCAGATGCACCGGGCAGTCTCCAGCCGCCCGATTTCCAGCGCCTCTTCCCAGGGAGCCATCAGTCCCTGCGAGCGCAGGCTGGCGCGAGTATGGGTGTGGTAGTGGCCGCCCATCGCGCCGCCACGCCGGCCAGCGCGCCCAGTTCCTCGGTGGATGCGTAGGAGCCGGGGGGATAGTCCAGGCCGGTTGAGAGCCCCCAGGCACCCTCCTCCATGGCCTCGCGGGTCACGGCCTTCATATCCTCAAGCTCGGTGTGCGTCGCCGGACGGTCGTTCCACCCTACGCTCCAATGCGGACGGGAGAGTTGCCCAGGATGTAGGCCATGTTGATGGCGACGGAGTCGTCGTACTTGTCCAGTAGCTGCGCCACGGTCAGCCAGTCAGCGGGCAGGGGCGGGTAGCCGTTCAGCCCTGAGTCCAGCCAGATGTACGCTCCAGCTCCTCGCGGGTCTTGAAGGGCGCGTGCGAGATGCCGTCGATGCCCACCAGCTCGGTGGTGACGCCCTGCCGCACCTTGGGATCGTGGTGCGGCTCCCCCAGGATGGTCAGCCCTGCGTGCGAGTGCAGGTCAACGAACCCGGGGCAAACACACGTACCCGGTGGCGTCGATGGTCCGCGCCGCCTCCAGCACCGACACGTCGCCGCGGTGGATGCTGACCCGATCCCCTTCCACCGCAACCGCGGCAAAGAACCCGGGACTGCCCGTCCCGTCAACAACCATCCCGTTGGCAATCAGCAAATCAATCATGGCCGGACCTCGCAGGTGTGGGTGAGAGGCAGGGACTAATACGTTAGTCGAAAGAGTAAGCGCGGGGAGTTGAGTTCAGTCGTGCCTGACCAATCGGATGCCCTCCATGGGAAAGTCACGAATGTTGTTGGTAACGAGAACCGCATCGTTGGCTATGGCAACGGCGGCAATCAGGGAATCAGTTGCTGTGAGGGTGATTCCGCAGCGGGCAAACTCGTAACGATACTTTCCAGCCTCTTTGGCGATTGCGGATGTCGTCTCGAAATATAACCATCTGTCCAGCGCGGGTTCATTTTCAATTCGTTCTCGCGCGCTAAAACCGGAGTAAACCTCGGCCAGCCCCACGGCACACACCGCCAAATTATGCCCTTGGGCCTCCAGGTTTTCCAAGAAATCCATGACTCCTCTTCGCCAACGAAAATAATCAACCAGCGCGGTAGAATCAAGGAGATGATCGGTCACGCCGATTCTCCATAGAGCGTTCGTTGTCCAAGTCGCGTGAAGCCCTTACCCAAGCGTAGACCATTGCAGACGTTTCCCAGGACGGATGGAACTCCTCGCCAGACTCTTCCTTTTCCTTTCTGATTTTTTGCGTTTTCTCCAGCTCTTTGAGTACGACGTGGACAATGAAGTGGGAGCGACCCCTTTCGCCCACCAGCTCATCCACAGCCTGCACCAGGTAGCCCGGCAGATTCACTGGTATGTTTCTGTATTCAAGACCTAGTTTGCAAAGGGATTCCAATTCCGGGATATGTCTGCCTTCGATTTGCCAAAGAGATTGCCCGTTTCTGCCCTCAACCGAACGCTGCAATTCCTCGGACAGACATTTACGAGAAATGTCCCTTAACCAATCAACCCCTATGATGTACGGGTATTCGTCATCGTCCAACCTACCCGGAGCATATTCGTAGGGGCTCGCACACAACCCTATCATGATGTCACCCGGTTTGGGCCTGGGAATGATAATCCAGTCGTCGATGCGTATCTCGTTAGCGAACCTCCACAACTGATTCACTACATTCCCAATCCTGCTCTTGTTTTCATATCCAACCTTGCCGAGAGCATCCTTCAATTCAGACAAAGTGGAACTTCGGAGATCCGGCCCGCAGTTACCCAGATAGTCTATAGCGGCTACTCTCTCGTTCCAGAACAGGCTGGCAAACCTGTCCGCTCTCCATTTCTCTGCGGCGCGGATCGCCCAGACCTTTACTGGCTCAGCCATTCTCACCACTCCCTAGCTGGCGGCGTGCTCATCTGGCACTCCTAGAGTAGCGATTGTACGCCCCCCTCATCGCCCGCAGCACCCTCTCCGCCGTCAGCGGCAGGCTGGCGACGGGTGCGCCGATGGCGTCGGCGACGGCGTTGGCTATGGCGGCGGCTACGGGGATGTTCGAGCTCTCGCCTATGCCCTTGCTGCGGTAGGGAGCCGGGCCGTTATTGCCCTCCACCAGCACGGTCACCAGCTCGGGAATGTCGGCGATGGTGGGGATCTTGTAGTCTCCGAAACTGACCGTGGAGATATGGCCGTCCTCGGTCTGTAGTTCCTCCATCAGGGCGTATCCCAAGCCCTGGATCACGCCGCCTTCGACCTGCCCTTGGTGCATCAGCGGGTTCAGGATCGCCCCCACATCATGGGCAGAAACCAGGCGCTTAACCGTGACAGCGCCGGTCTCCGGGTCGACCTCAACCTCAGCGGCCTGGGCGCAGAAGGATGTCATGTCCGGCGGCTCTGACGCGAACTCGTACTCCGCGACGATGGTCCCGTCGCCTACGTGCGCCACCACCTCGCCGATGTTGATGGTGCGGTAGTACGCAGGGCGCAGCGGCGACGGCCCGACCACCACCCGCCCGCTCTGCAGCGACACGTCCTCCTCCGGCGAGTCAAGCAGCGGCGCAGCGGCGCGAATCAGCTGCCGTTTCAGCTCCCGTGCCGCGCCCACCACGGCCTGCCCGGCGGTATAGGTCACCCGCGTGCCCCCTGAGCCGGAGCTGAACGGCATCTCCGACGTGTCCAGCAGCTCGATGTCGACCTCATCCACCGGCACCGACAGCTCCTGGGCCACCATTTGCCTCAGCACGGTGTGCGATCCGGTGCCGGTGTCCCAGAAGGCCATGTGCAGCGTGGGATGGCCCGAAGAGTCCATGCTGATCTTTGCAGCAAAGCGCCCCACGCCCTGCGACAGGTCGGTGATGGCCAGCCCCCGGCCCGTCAGCATCCCGTCGCGGGCGGGCTTGGGCGCATCCCAGCCCACGGCGTCGGCGGCGCGACGCAGTGTTTCCTCGGCGCGGATGTCCTGCCAGACATGCCCCACCGGGGACGCGTCTCCGTCCCGCAGCAGGTTCTTCTGCCGGAACTCGTGCGGGTCCATCCCCAGCTCGCGGGCGACCAGGTCGGTAATGCGCCTCGACGGCGAACACCACCTGCGGCTTGGCGGGGCTGCGCATGTGGCCCTTGGGGACGTTGTTGGTGTACACCATGTAGCTGTCGATGCGGGCGTGCGGGATGCGGTAAACGCCGCACAGGTGGTCGGCGCCCCGCAGGTACACCGTCGGCTTGAACGCGCCGTAGGCTCCGCTGTCGAACACCACCCGCGCCTGCCGCGCCACCAGCGTCCCGTCGCGCTTCACGCCGCTCCTGATGGTCATGGTCGCCGGATGGCGCGGGTTGGCCGCCATCAGTTCCTGTATGTAGTCCATCACCATCTTGACCGGACGCCCTGAGTGCAGCGACAGGTAGTAGCACAGCGGCGCGTCCATGAACGAACCCTTGCCGCCGAAGTCGCCGCCGATGCTGCACGGGTGCAGCACGATGCGCTCTTCGTCCATTCCCCAGACCGCGGCCAGTTGTTCCCGCAGGGCGTAGGGATCTTTGTTGTTGATCCAGACCTGCACCTGCCCTGACGCCTCGGCGCCGACCACGCAGGCGTGCGGTTCGATGTAGGCCTGGTGCATCAGCTGGGCGTTGAACGTGTGCTCGAAGACCAGGTCGGCTTCGCGAACCCCTGCTCCACGTCGCCCTGGCCCCAGGTGATGTGCGCAAACACGTTGTTGATGTCCGACTCGGGCTGTGGCAGCCCCTCGTACCCGGACATCTCCGTGTGCAGCGTCGGCGCGCCGGCCTCCATGGCCTCGTGGGCGTCGAACACAGCCTCCAGCTCCTCGTACTCCACGTCGATGAGCAGCAGGGCCTCCTCGGCGGCCTCCTCCGTCTCGGCGGCCACCGCAGCCACCTTCTCGCCGACGAAGCGCACCACATCCCGCGCCAGCACCGGCATGTCCCGCAGTCGCCGTCCCACCAGCGCGTCGGGCAGGTCAGCCGCAGTGATAACCGCTTGAACGCCCGGCACGGCCTTGGCCTGCTCCGTGTCGATGCTGACAATGCGGGCGTGGGGGAACGGCGAGCGCAGCACCTTGCCCCAAAGCATCCCCGGCAGCGAAACGTCGGCGGCGTAGATGGACCTGCCGGTAACCTTGTCCGGCCCCTCGCCGCGAACGACGGACTGCCCAATGGCGCGCGTGGTCGTGGTCATAATGTTACTCACTGATTCGGGAAATATTGAATTATTCCATCATTTATGAGGCTATTGATGGCAGACCGGATTGTCATCTCACTGAAATGGGGCTTCAGGTGCCTCACCGTTTCGACCACCGAGTTAAGATTTTCAGGTTTTGTCGGGCGAATCCTCTTCCACAGAAAAATGGAAGTCGTTCGGAGTTCAAGATCTCTGGCATTGAACGCCCCGAAATGCTCGACCAAATCGCGCAGCTTATCGCTATAGTTGCCTATAGCTCCAGTTTGCATACCTGAGCTTCCTGCCTTCCCGCCGGGTGTGATTTTGAATCCTCCATGCGGATCCCCCAAATACTCAACATCCACCTGCTTTCGCAGTTTCGCGTATTCCAAGTCTGCAAGGACCTCCGCCGAATATGGCCCATACGTGTAAAGCGAGAACCTGTACCCCAAAGGGATCTCATACAATTCTTGCAACAGATAGGCCAGCTTCATAAAGGCGGTTTTCCCGAACTGAGGCGATTTGTCCTCCAGACACAGTGCTAGCTCAAGTGGCAAGTGCCGCCTTAATTCCTGTCTCTCTATTTCTCTATTCATTATGGTCTCCGATTCAGTGGTCTTTGAAAAGAATTCTTAGGGCGTTCTCCCTGTCATCTCGCCGGACATATATGCCTTTCTGACTTGAAGGAGGTAGATTCCTTACGACGTTTGAATGGTAAGATAATGGTGCCCCATGTCTCGGGCCAGTAGGTTCATTCGGAACTATTAGCAAGTCTTGTCCACCCAGAGAATACCAAGACTTTGAAGCGTCGCTCACAAAAGTAACTAAACCACCAAGATTGGATTTGTATTCTTCTAGAGTTCGAGATTCCTCCTCGCTAGGGACTTCCTCTGTATTCCAAACACGTCTGTGATGGGTTCTATTCTTTATGCACTCCCCATGTTCACCGCAGTTCCTTGAGGTAATCTCACCCAAAACTTTCCAATCATCCCAGTCGAGATATTCCTTAAGTGCCTCAACGTTGGTTGGCAAGGGAAATATCCCCGACTTTTCATGATCCCTTTTATCTCTGAGTAAATATGCCAAGACTCCCTCAACATGATGATCCAAAGCCTGCCTGACATGGTGAAAATATACCTGAGTAAACATCATATAGCGGGCTATAATTAGCCCCTCCGCTGCGTGCCATCCACCTTCCTCTACAGCAATCACTGGATCATCATCATTCCCTAAACCAAGAGTTACCGTCGCTAATATACGATCTAAATCATAGCGGCCATACGAAACACCAGCGTGTAAAGAATCTCGGAGCAAATAGTCAGATCGGTCAGCGTCAAGCTGACTGCTAACGATAGGCCGCCACAAGAGGCGTCGACCAGAGGCTTGAGAAATTCTCGAAGGATCAGTTACACCCTCAATTAAGTCTGCGACATCATCCGCCTTAATGTCGAAGTTGGCATTTTCAGGGTGGCCTTCTAAGATTTCCTTTAAGATTGTTCGGATTATGCTAGCTGAATAGTCCTCATGCTGATACCGCCTGTCATCCACTTGACTGAACGGGAACAGCCCCTCACTCGAGTGCGAAAAAGGGGAGTGTCCAATATCATGTAAAAGCGCTGCGAAGCGTACAACCCTCCGATCTCGATCCAAACCAGCCTGCTGGTACCCTCGTTCAGTCATCAGGTATTGTCTCTGTCTGGTGACTATCGCATCGTACATTCTCGTAGCGACATGCATCGTTCCTAGAGCGTGCTCAAACCTAGTGTGTGTAGCCCCTGGGTAAACAAAATCTGCAAGGGCCCAATTGTTTGATTCGTCTGAGACGTTGAAAAGCCGGATGGTTTATTACCTCTCTTTCCCAGTCGTCATATTCTATGAACCCGTGTACTGGATCCCTAATTTGGTAGACAGTCAATTCTCAAATCCCTTACCGAAAGAAAGCTCACCGATCTACAGAATTCAGTAGCACACCTTACCAGCCAACCCTGCCCAGAAACAATCGGCCATCGTCACAACATGGGAAACACACCCCCCATGTGCCCTTGCCTCAGACTACGCCGACCGGCCGGGCAGTATCCGCCCGGTGCCGGGCGTCAGGTCCCAGTCCTCTTCCTGCACCCCTCGCAGGTAGTCGATCTGGCCGTGGTGGTTGTTCTTGTGGACGATAACGTGCCGCAGTGAGTCGCTCACGGTCTCGTCCCGTTCTCCGCCTCCCATGAACTCGGCCAGCCTCGAGTCATCCAGCAACTCGAAAAAACGTACCGTCCGGCTGGTCACCGCCTCCGCGTACGAAATCAGCACCTCGGCCGCCGGGATCGCAAGGCTGCGCAGTCCCAGCCGGTCGCCGGGGTCCGGCGCCGTCTCCTGCTGTCCGAATCGCTCGAACCACCCACCCGACACCCACAGGTCCTGCTCGTAGTCGCCCTGCCGACCGGCGGTGCGGCTGATGCGGGCGTCCTCGTTGCGCGTCATGTGCCAGAGGATGAAGCCGATGTTGTTGGACGTCGGCGCGGGCCGCCACGCCATCTGCTCCGTAGTCAGCCCCTCGCACGTCGCCATCAGCCTGATGTGCGTCTGCGCCAGGCAGTCGGAGATGAATTGGACGGTACTCATATCCTCGACCTTGTCCGGTTGGCGTTACCCCTAGTAGTACACCGCGGCGCCGGTGCCACCCCCGGCGGCGATGACCTCACCCGTGACCGCCCAGGCCTTGTCCGACGCCAGGTAGCAGGTCAGGAATCCGATCTCCGACCCGTCTACCATCCGGCAGATGTGGTTGCCCCGCGGGGAGTCGGGTGCAAAGTCGTGCGCCTCCACCTCCTCGACCGGGATACCCAGCTGCGCCGCCCGCGCCTCCAGCAGCCCAGGCGTGCGCTCGGTGCGGGTGGTGCCCGGGTGGATGCAGTTCACCGTGATGCCGAACCGCCCCATCTGGATTGCCAACGTCTTGGTCAGGTGCACCATGGACACGTTGCGGGCGCCACCGCTCAGGTTGCCGGCCGTCCGCCCGTTGCCGCCGCTGATGTTGATGATGCGGCCCCAGCCCTGCTCTTTCAGATGGGGAATGGCTGCCCGGGCACAGCGAAGCGCACCCACGTACTTGACGTCAAAGTCGTTGATGAGGGAGTCCTCGTTAACGGTATCGATGGGTCCGGTGGCATCCGCCGAGCCGCCGGGAGGCGACCCGCTGTTCACCAGGATGTGCAGCCCGCCCAGCCCGCTGTGCGGCCTCGGCAACCGCCGCGTCCACCTGCTCACGGCTGGTGGCGTCCATGGCGATGGCTATGATGTTACGTCCCGTGGCCTCCGCGATTTCCTGCGCCGCCTGTTCCAGATCGGTCACGGTACGGGATGCGATCGCCACATCGCAGCCCTCACGGGCCAGCTCCAGCGCGATGGCCTTGCCGATGCCCTTGCTGGCGCCCACCACGAATGCTTTCTTGTCAGTGAGTCCGAAGTCCATTTTGCCACTCCTCTTAAGTGCCAGGTCTTGGTTACCCGGTTTTTAGTTACCCGGTTCGGTTGCAGTAAGTGTAGTTTCTATTCCGAGTCCGAAGCTGGCTCCAGCCAGTCCTCGGCAATCAACTCGATGGTCCCGCTGTCCAGGACTACGTAGTAGACGTTGGGAGTGCCCGGCTCCAGCTCCAGCTTGGTGCCGGTCCAGTCATCGGTCATTTGGGGCGCGATGGTGCCCAACAGCCCCCTGCAGCTCTCCGGCGGCTGACGGTGTGTGCCGCCGCCGCGCCTGAGAATCCGGACTCGTTGGTCTATCGCGAACTTGTAGGGAGTCACCATAGGCACACAGCTCCAGAAAATGTTGCCAACGGCATTATAAGGGATAGGAGAGGGGCTCTATCGTCGCCGCTTGCCGGAGATTCTAGCGTGCGACTGATGTCTCCGGGTGCTTACGACGTGCTTACGACCGCGCTCCCTGACTGGAGCGATGCTGGCGAATGGTCCGGAAGAACGCCCGAACATCCTCCGACAGCAACTCCGGCTGCTCCATCGCTGCGAAGTGTCCGCCGCGGGGCATCTTGGTCCAGCGCTGCACGTTGTGGGTGCGCTCGGCCCACTCACGGGGCGGACGGTTGATTTCCACCGGGAACAGGGCCACCGCGCACGGCACCTCCACCCGCTCTCCCGGCTGGAAGCGCCAGTTGTCCACCCGGTTCTCGTAGTAGTGCCGCACCGACGATGCCCCGCTCTGCCCAACCCAGTAGACCATGATGTTGGTCAGCAGCTCGTCGCGGGTGTAGCTGTTCTCCGGGTTGCCTGCCGCAGTCCGACCATGTGCGAAACTTTTCGATGATCCACGCGGCCAGTCCCACCGGCGAGTCGTTGAGCGCGAACCCAGCGTCTGCGGCTTGGTCCGCTGGATGTGGAAGTAGCCGCCCTCGTCCTCGAACCAGCGCCGGGCCTGCCGTACAAATTCCTGCTCCGCCTCGGTCAGGGGAGGATCGGGAGCGCCGCGAAAGGCGGGCACGCCGGTCATCAGGTTCAGGTGCACCCCGGCCACCGACTGCGGGAAATCGAAGCCCAGCCGCGAACTGATCATTCCGCCCCAGTCGCCGCCCTGCGCCCCGAACCGTGCGTAGCCCAGACCCTCGGTCATCAAGGTGTGCCACATCCCGGCAATGCGCCTGTTGCTCATGCCCCGATCAACGGGCTTGTCGGAGAACCCGTACCCCGGCAGCGAGGGAACCACCACGTCGAAGGAGTCGGCAGGGTCGCCGCCGTGCGACGCCGGATCGGTCAGCATGGGAATGATCCGCAGCATCTCCACCACGGACCCCGGCCAGCCGTGGGAGATTACCAGCGGGAACGGGTCCGGCCCCTTGCCGCGCTCGTGGATGAAGTGCACGCCCAGCCCACCAACAATGGCGCGGAAGTGCTCAAGCTCGTTGAGCGCCCGCTCCTGCGCCCGCCAGTCGTACTCTGTCCGCCAGTACTCCACAAGCTCCCGAAGGTAGGAGAGGTCCGTGCCGTAGTCCCATCCCGTGCCCGGAATCTCGTCCGGCCACCGCGTATCCGCCAGCCGGACCGCCAGGTCGTCCAGCACGTCCTGCGGAATGTCGATCACGAAACGCTCAATTTCCACGTCAAAACCTCGTCACTACGGCGATAGTGTGAAAATCAACTCGTGGTTGGCCGCAAGCGATGGGGGCGGCTATGTTCGTGCCGACGCCCTCGGCAGATTAGGCAGGAATCGCCAGGATCCGCGTATTTCTTCCCTCAGCCTCCTGAATGAGCGCGGAGTGAGGGTTCGGAGCGGCTACCACCGGCGTGACTGGGTCCCCGGTAGCCGTGCGTAGGATTTCGGACCGGCGCAGCGCACGGGAAATGTCATCCTCGTTGGGACCCAGGGAAATTTCCACGACTGCATGTCTGTGGTTCTGTCCATACACTATGAGATCGGCCTGAATAAGGTCTCTGGACTCCTCGCGGGTGATGCGGCCCGACTGGACTGCCGCCTGGAGTGTCTGGCTGAAGTTGGGGTGAGCTACGTCGAACCTTGAAAAGGCCACCCTGGGGCCCTCTATCCCCAGCTCCAGGCCTGCAAGCTGGACCGCGATGCGGACGGCGCTTCGCTCATACAAAATGTCTTCTATGATGCCCAATCAGCCCTTCACCCGATTCATCCGCGTTTGTAGATCCCTTTGGCCAGTTTTCAGCTCTCCGACATCCCCCCGAATTACGTCCAAGTCCTACCGCATGAGCGGGAACTGGGCAGGGAGTTGCAGGAGGTCTTCCGTAGGAATGTTGGTCCTGAGCTGGTTTTTCAGCTCTGGGTTCTGTTCAAGGGCACGGAGTATGTCCTGGAAGGAGTTGACCGGGGTAGTCATGACGGGTTCTCTCTCGGTTAATGCATTGATCTTATCACGCTGCGACGAGCTGACTGTCCCGTCCTCAGCGGGCCCTCCGTGTACTTCGGAGAGACTGCTGAGGTGAGGATGTCCGCCAGGTACTCAAGCGTACCCCCCGATCGGTGCGCCTACGCCGAGAACCCCGACTCCCGCCGCCACTGCAGGTAGTCGACCAGCGCTCCCCGCAGGTCGTAATCCGGCTGCCAGCCCAGGTCCTGCCGCAGCCTGTGGCCCGACAGCGGCCCCCTCGATGGCACCGCTGCCCGCGCTCTTGCCGCGGCGCCGTCGGCCGCGCCCGCAGGTGCCGGGCTGCCGGGTGCCAGTTCGGCCAGGGCCTCTAGTATCTCGCGGTAAGTGATCCAGGGCCCGGCGGTCAGGTTGTACAGGTCGTGGGGCAGTTCCGGAGCGTCGAGAATCGCCTGCAGTCCGCGGGCCGTATCCACGGAGTATGTGTAGTCCCGCCCCTCTTCTGGGTCGAATGAGTCCATCTGCACCTGCAGCGGCTCGCCCCGGGCCACCTGCCCCGTCCACTGGTACAGCGCGGACATCACAGCCCGGTGGCCGGTGACCCGCTCCATCGGTCCGTACGGCGTGCTGAGCCTGACACTCACCGTCGAAAAGCCGTACAGCTCTCCGTAGCGCCGCGTGATCAGCTCCCCGGCGTACTTGGTGATGCCGTACATCGAATCGGGAGACACAGCCATTTCCTCACTGTAGGTCTGGTCGGTGCCCGCCGCAATGCCATAGGCCGCCCCGGAACTCACGTAGAGGAACCGCTGTACTCCCGCGATCCGTGCCAGCTCCAGCACGTTGGCCAGTCCCTCAATGTTGATACTGACGACATCTCGGCCTCGCTCGACCTCAAGGGCGAACTGGTTCACCGTGTACGTGGCCGCGTGGATGATCTTGTCGATGCCGTGAGTGCCGGCCAATCCGTTCACAGCATCGGCATCTCGAATATCTCCCTGCGCGAAGGCAACCCGGTCCTGCCACTCCGCAACGAAATCGCGCATCAGGTCGTCGGGAGGCGAAATGTCATAGCTGACCACCTCGTGTCCGGCCCGCGCCAGTTCCCGAACAATGTTCGCCCCGACAAACCCCGTTCCTCCGGTCACCAGCGTAGCCATATCCACGCCCTCCAGCAGTCGACTTGCCAGTCGGCGCAATTGTAGCATCGGAATTTTCCCCGCCTGAATGGCGAAAGGCTGGGTGATCGTGCCATCCCCCATTTGAGCACCGGAGTATTTTGCTGACATTCCGTCCTTACCAATCGTTGAGAAGCTCCGATAAACTTAATTGGTATATATGTTCACAATAAGCCAATCGCAAATTCCCTCCCCCACCGGGGGAAGGTTAGAGCCTGCCCCCGCGAAAGCGGAGTGTGGGAGAGTTTCCTCATCGTTCCAGGAAGCCACGGAGCTATCCGCGCAACCTTTCGTTGGGCAGAAAGCATCCGTCACCAAACATCTGCGCGAATCCTTGTATGCCATGCCGGAGATTACCCAGCTCCGGTGGGCAACCGAAGACCCTCAGCCTCCCGCGACCAGTCGGGGAGCCGGCAATAAGACAAAATGAGACACTTTTTAAAACTTTTGTGGGTGGCGTGAGACACCCCAAACCCCCACGACCGGGAAATTCAACTCGACCACCGGAAACCAGACGAACACCCGACTGTCCCTGTCTTGACAGTGAACAGCGTGCGGGCCTACGATTCTAGATGAGCCGCAAGCGTTTTATACGTCTTTGAGGCTCGACGTGGGGACATAGCTCAATTGGGAGAGCGCGGCGTTCGCAATGCCGAGGTTGGGGGTTCGATCCCCCTGTCTCCACCACCCAGTTCCTCATAGTGGCGTCACGCCCCTGTAGCTCAGAGGATAGAGCGGCAGCGTCCTAAGTTGCGCGTCGGGGGTTCGAGTCCCTCCAGGGGTACCACTCCAATCCAGGCAACCCAATCCAGCGTCCAGCGATTACGAACAGCGGAGCCAAAGGCCCGGCAAACCCGGGTCTTTTTGCCGCGAAATGCCCATCCCTGCCATCGACAATTGCAGCCATCAAAGCGGCCCAACCCCAGCTGGCCCGACCCGCGCCCAGCCGCCTCCCAAGGGCTGAAGAGGCAATGCGATGACGATACGCCACGCCTAGAGGGTCTCGCCTCCCTCCTGCGTCGGCACGTACTCGGCCAGTTGGCGGATGGTTTCGGTGAAAGTGCGGTCGCGGTCCCGCGATTCGGGGAACTCCTCCCCGAAGGGAGTGTTGCCGATGAGCCGGTACATTTCCGCCACTCCCTCGAAGATATGGGGAGTCATGCCCAAGTGGGCGAATGTGTCCCGAATCTCCTCCATTTCACTGACCCAGCGGCGCGACCGCGGCGGCACCGTGGGGATGGTGCGTTCCATCCGCTGCAGGATCTCCTGCTGGCCCGACCGGAACTCCTCCAGCAGCGGTTCCGTCAGCCCCATCAGCTCTGCCGCCATCAGGAGCTCGCTGTACAGCGCCCAGGAGCCCTTGGTCATCGCGGCGTAGCACATCTTTATCCCGGAGGCCTGCCCCACTCCGCCATCCAGCTTCAGCACCGTCAGCCCGCAACTGTTCAGCTGCTCAAACTCTGAGGCCTCCTCTCCCGAGGCATAGAAGTGAGGACTGTAACCCCGGACGTGGTGGCCCACCGATTATGGAAACGTCCACGAACCGCCCGCCAGCGCAGGTAATGATGGGCTCCAGCTCCCGCACAAGCTGAGGAGCAATGGCGTTGCATTCCGCGAACAGGGTATCGGCGCCCGTAACCGTGAGAGCGTCCGCAACCTCCCGGCACAGACTCGACACCGCCGAAGACACCGTCATCGACATTATCAGGTCTGCCTGTTCGACCAGGTCCAACAGGTTGGGAACATCCCGTACCCCTGCTTTGTCGGACAGGGCCCGCGTCCGGTCGCTGCGGCCGGCCAGGCACGTAATCACGTCCAATTCGTATTCCCGCAAACGTTGCCCAACGGCGTGTCCCATATCGCCGGGGCTCAAAATTGCTACGGTGCTGATCTCCATCAATGGTTGCTCTCGATTCAGGTATGGGGCTCACCAAATATAGCACAGGGCTAATTTATAGTTAGTGACCAAAGCCACCAACCATCCCACGAGGGGAGGCGGCCAGTACGGGAAGACCCACCCAACCCTAGCGCCCGCGCCGCACACCATCGGCCCCGCCAGGAGCGAAACGCAAGGCGCCAAGCGCCAGCCAGCAGCACCCTGACGACGGTTCTAGACCTGCCTAATCCCAACCCAATTCGGGCGGAACCAGCCTAGCTCAGAGCATCCCCAGGGGCCCTTTAACGTGAGCGGGAACAGCGAAGGGCGAGGGCAATAGGTCCGGGGATGCCCTCGGCGCATGCGCAGGGTTCAAGAGGGGATGGGTTTGCCCGCCGGCGCTTCCACGGCGATGGTGTGGATGGAGTTGTTTGCGTACCCTCGGAAATTCCAGGCGATGGAACCGGGTTGAACGTTGCCCGCCGAGTCGGTGGCGCGGGACATCAGCAGGTAGTGGCCGGACGATGGGACCTGCCAGGCTAGTTCCCACTCCCGCCAGGCATGCGGCGTGGGCTCGCCGAGCAACATGGAATCCGCCCAGGTGCGCCCACCGTCAGTGCTTACTTCAACCCTGGCGACCTGTCCTTCCCCGGACCAGGCGAACCCCCGAATTGTAAATGACGGGTACTGGATCACTTCGCCGTGCCGAGGACTGGCGATCAGGGACTTGACCAGCACCGTCGTAACCGGCTCCCGCTCCAACGAGTCTTCCCGCCCCTCGTTGATCATCACGTATCGCCGCTGCTGGAAAAATCCGTCCAAGACTTGGTCAGTCAGGTGGACGCGGGTCAGCCACTTCACCGAAGCCATGCCGTACCAGGACGGCACGATCAACCGCAACGGGAATCCGTGGTTAGTCGTAATCGGTTCGCCGTTCATCTCAAAGGCGAGCAGCGTATCGTCGTCCAGTGCTTTGGCCAACGGCAAACTGCGACGGTAGCTCAGCTCAAAGGCCACGCCATCTTCCTCTTCCTCGCCCCGGTCGGCCCCCTCGAAAACCACCGACGTAGCCGTTTCCTGGACGCCCGCCATCTCCAGCACTGCCCTCAATGAGACTCCCTTCCAACTGGCGGTGCTCACGGCGCCGTGTCGAAACGCCAGGCCCTCCGCCGGGGGCGTGACGTAGGAGCGGCTGTTGCCCGCACATTCCATGGTAAACGCCAACTCCCTGCCGGGGAGTCGGGCCACGTCGTCGAAGGCCAGCGAGATCGGCTGATCTACCAGGCCGTCAACTTCCAGCCGCCAGCTCGAAAGGTCCAGGGCTGGGACGTGGGAGAAGTGGTTCCGTACGTAATACCGGTCGGTCGGGGTAATCCAGGAATCTAGCGAAGTCAGGCTCGCCTCTTTGCACAAAGGGTCGTCTGCTACCGGCAGCAGAGTTGATGATTCCCGGTCGATGTTGGATTCCGTAGCCATTCATGCTCCTGCGGTGCCGCAAATTGGCGCTTATTCTATCAAAGCCCGCAATCCCCGTGGCAATGCGCCATTGGCCCCACCTACCACGGAGAGCACGGAGGCCCCGGAGTCTTTTCAGACTTGGCCTGTGAACCTAGCAGCGTGTCCGAGGATTAGATTTTGGAGACGAAAAGCGCCACTGACTAATCTCATTGGTGACTAATGGGCTCTAATAAAACGGTTACCGGAATAATTAACTTTGTAGATGCCGAGATTCGTTTAAAACATTGTTTCTCAGACAGACTGCTAGCAATTGGAACATCCACTGCCAGCAGGGAATCGTACTCTCGTTCAACGGCCCCAGACTACGGGTACCCGTCGGATTCTGGAAGCGACGACGTCTACCTGATCACGGTGGAAGCAAGGGATGACCAGTCCAACTCAGCAAGACTGGATGTAACCGCGAGGGTTACCAACCTAACCAAATGATCTTCAACTATCCAGTTTGATATTCCCTAAGCCTCCCGCAAATCCTTTTCGCCAGGCAGCGCACATCGTGTGCTACCGTGCAACGGCACATTGAATCTCGCCAGCGGCTTACAGGAACGGAGGTGTCCTATTGAGATTCGCAGCCTTTACCACGGTGGCGGCCTCCGCCTGCGAGGCCACCAACTCCGCGGACATGCTGGACAACCTGAGGCAGCAGACCATCCTCGCCGAAGAACTGGGATTCGAGGCCATCTGGCTCGGAGAGCACCACTTCGGCCCATACGGCGTGGGCGACCTTCCGAACCCCATTCTGCTGGGCGCTGACCTCGCAGCCCGCACCTCTACGATACGCATCGGCCAGATGGCCAACATCGCCCCCTGGTGGCACCCGGTGCGGCTGGCCGAGGACCTGGCGATCCTCGACAACATGACCAGGGGCCGCATCGAGGTCGGGTTCGGCAGGGGAATCTGGCCCTACGAAGGGCCCCAGTTCCATCCCAACGCCGACCCCAGAAAGGACGCGGAAAACCGGGAACTGTTCCGGGAGACCGTGGACATCGTCCGAAAGATCTGGTCAGAGCCATACTTCTCTCACGAAGGAGCCAACTACCGGTTCCCCGCGGAGGACACCGTGTTCTCCCACCCGTCGCTGCCACCGGACCCTGCCTGGCAGGACGGCGAACGGGTTACCCGGCTCCGGGTAACTCCCCGGCCCTACCAGCAACCCCACCCGCCCCTATGGATGACCGTATCCACCGATAACTCGGTCTCCACCGCTGCACGGATGGGCCTCAATGCCTGCTATTGGCAACCTCCGGCAGCCAGGATCAGGCAGCGTATGGAGCTGTATGCCGAGGTCCGTTCCCAAGTGGAGGGCAGGCCGTTCGTCCTGGGCGAAGGGCAGGCCGTGATGCGTTCCACCTACGTCGCATCCTCAATGGAGGAAGCACGGAGGGACGCAGAGGCCGCGATCATGTCGTCGTTCTCCTACAATGATCCCTTCCGGGGCAGACAGGTATTCACCAATCCGGGCGAAGAACTGGATCCCGCGACGAAGCTGGACTGGGAGTTCCTTGAGCCCCGTACCCTGCTGGTCGGCTCACCGGAAAACGTCGCAGAGAAGGTGCAGGAACTACAGGAGGTCTGCCACCTGGACTACCTCCTGGTCGAGTTCACCCACCCGGGCCTGCCGCTCGACAAGACGCTCAGGAACCTGGAGAACTTTGCCACTCAAGTGATGCCCCGGTTCGCCAGCCCCTGAAGTCCTGCGCCTACGGTGGTCGAAAGCCGGAGGGCCCTTGTCGGGTCGCCTTCCTTCACTTCAAGCCGGTCACTTCACGCCGGGCTGGCGCTATCTGTTATATTCAGCAAAACCAAGCCGCATATCACCCCGGCCGTTTGCCATCCTCACCGAGGCAACAGGAGGCTTCATGCAGACCGGACTGTTCCTGGAGTTCCCGGCCCTCGACGACATCACTGACCAGCAGGCCTTTCAGGAAGGCTTCAAAATCGCGGAAGAAGCGGAGCGGATGGGGGTGGAATCGGTCTGGCTGGCCGAGTACCACTTCATCCCCTTCAGTGTTCTGTCCGCGCCCGTGATGGTGGCCACATCCATCGCCAGCCGCACCGAGCGCATCCGCATCGGCCTGGGCGTGCTGCTGCTCCCCCTGGGCAACCCCATCCGCATCGCCGAGGAAATCGCCACCCTCGACCACATCAGCCAGGGAAGGCTGGATTTGGGCATCGGCAGGGGCACTTTCCCCGAGCATCACGATGCGTTCCTGTCCCCCTATCCCGAGAGCCGGGGCAGGTTTGAGGAATACCTCGAAATAATCCTCAAGGCCTGGAGCACCGAGCAGTTCTCCTTCGAGGGCGAACACTACCGTTGCTACGACCTGGCCGTGCGGCCCAAGCCCTACCAGAAGCCGCACCCGCCCATAAGGGTCGGCATCACCTCGGCCGAGACCTTTCCCATCATCGGCCGGATGGGATACCCGGTCTTCGTCAATCCTTCCCGGGTCTTTGCCCTCTCAGACCTCGCGGAGCACGTCCAGGCATACCAGCAGGCCTGGAAGGACGCAGGGCATCCCGGCAAGGGAAACGTCGGCATCCGCCTGCCGGTATACCTGGCCGAGACGGAGGAGCAGGCCTACGAAGAGCCACGGGAAAGCGCGCAGACCTCCATCCAGGGCATCGGCCAGAGGGTGGCAGCCAGCGCGACCCGGGAGGGCACCACCGGCAACTGGCAGGCCGAGTCCGACCACATCCTCAGCATGACCTACGACGACTGGCTCAAGGACAAGGTCATCTTTGGTACCCCGGAATCAGTCCTCGACCGCCTGCTGAAACTTACTGAGGAGCTGCAACTCTCCCACATTGTGTTCGAAAACAACCTGGGGCGCCGTATCCCTTACGACCTGCAGATGAAGTCGCTGAGTCTGCTCATGGACCGCGTCGTCCCTCATCTGCCGTGAGCGCCCCTACGCCAGCGAAAGACACGCACTCCTGAAATGGAAGGACCGTTGGCGGGATTCGCGGCCGTGTAAAGGCTTGAACCGGCAGCCGACGCCTCCGCTGCGAATCCAAGCGGCTGACCCGCAGTGAAGTCAACGTCGCTCCCTGCGTAGCCATTGCGAGCCATCGATAGCCTTCCATTTGGGTGGCTCGCTCCCCTTGTCAGCGGGTTTGAAACCCGCACCTGCGCTACGCCAAGATGACAGGCCCTGCACCGGTTACCTGAAACCAAACGCTGCCTTCCTGCCCAGGGCTATCACATTCGGCTAGCCACACTCCTCGGCTGCATCCTGAATCGAATCCCGCCATCGGAGGGAGGCGGAACCTGCGGACGGGGAATGCGGAATCCCTTTGGGACAGAAATTTCCCACTCCAGTCCCATATTGTCCCATTTTGTCCCAAAATCACGTTCCGCCGTATCTGGGATTTGCCCAATTCAGCCGAAAATTGGGATTCCCGTCCCATTTTGTCCCACCCTGTCCCACTGGGTTTGTCAGGCCGGGCAACGGAGTCAAGAGGGTGCCAGGAAGGGCGTATGTTGGGGGATCATGCACTGGGTTTATGGTAGAGGGGTGTCATGAGGCTTGGCAAGGTGCAAGTGTCATCAAAAACGCGTTGGCGTTGCTTTGTGAGCCGTTCAAGAAGTTCTTAAAGTGGTGACATTGTATTATACTAGCTCCATGTCCGTAGCTGACGGTCCATTGATTGCCCGCCGGGCCGCAGCAGGCGATATGCCAACGCGGATATGTTTTATTTGAGTAAGACCTGATACTGGGTAAGTATGGGGGGAACAATGGAAGTTAACGCGGAAAGAGCTGGCGCAACTGTGATCGCCAAGACCGAAGGTCGGGTAGACGGCACCAACGCCACTGAGTTTCAGGACGCTCTCAAAAATGTCATCACTCCTGACGACAAGGCAGTGATTCTGAATTTTGAAGACCTGTCCTATATCAGCAGCGCCGGACTGCGAGTAATCCTGCTCACCGCCAAGGACATGCGGACGGCCAATGTCAAGTTTGCCGTATGCTCGCTGTCCCAGTCGGTGCGTGACGTCTTCACCATCAGCGGATTCGACCAGATCATCGACATCCATGACGATCAGCCGACCGCCTTGGGCGCCGTCAGTAACTAGGCCTCGGCCCTGGCGGGACCACTGCCCGCCTCCTAGGCTACCGTGGGGAAGAAATTTTGGGTGAGGGCCGGATCTAATGGCGGAAGCCGCTCAGGACGCGCCCAGCGTATCCTATAAAATCCTCGTCGTGGACGACGAACCCGACCTTGAACCACTGATCCTCCAGAGGATGCGGCGCAACATCCGGTCGGGACGCTATGCTTTCGTTTTTGCTCACAACGGAATAGAGGCGCTGGAGGTTCTCCACCAAGACTCAGACATTGATATGGTCATCTCAGACATTAATATGCCTCAAATGGATGGCCTCACCCTGCTGGAGCAGATTCCGAAAGTAGACCCCAACATCCGCTCGGTCATCGTCTCGGCTTATGGGGATATGCGTAATATTCGCACCGCGATGAACCGGGGCGCTTTCGATTTTGTCACCAAGCCTCTGGATTTCGAGGATCTCCAGATCACCATTGAGCGCACCCTCACCCACATGGCCGAGTGGAAGGAGGCGCTCCTTTCCCGAGACAAGCTCGTGTCCCTCCAGAACGAGCTGGATGTAGCCAGCAAGATTCAGCAGGCCATCCTTCCCACCAGCTTTCCTGAAGGCGAAGGATTCGAGGTTTACGGCAACATGGCCCCGGCCCGCAACGTGGGCGGGGACTTCTTCGACGTGGTAAATCTCGAGAACGGGCGCCTTGGGCTGGCAGTGGCCGATGTGTCCGCCAATGGGTGCCGGCGCTCTCTTCCTAGATGTCCACAGCCCACCTCCTTGCTCAAGGAGCGCCACCGCGCCATGGGAGCTCCACCATGGGCAGTCCTGGGCGAAGTAAACCAGCTCCTGACCGAGGATAACGAGACATTCATGTTCGTCACGCTCCTTTATGCGGTCTTTGACCCCGAAACCGGAGTGCTTGACTACGCCAACGGTGGTCATTCCAACCCCCTGGTTGTTCACGCTGACGGCTCTTCAGAGGAGCTGCCACTTACCGGTGGCATTGCCCTGGGCGTAATGCCCGGCCTGGATTACCACGAGTCCAGCACTACCCTGGCGCCTGGGGACACTCTTGTTCTTTACACTGATGGCGTTTCTGAGGCCATGAACTCCCAAGAGGAGGAGTTCGGAGTGCCCCGGCTGAGGCAGATTTTTGTTGACCATCCCCCTGTCTCCGCCAGGCAAGCCAACGAGGCGATCCTGGAGGCCGTGATCCATTTCGCCGACGGGCATCCGCAGTCCGACGATGTGACCTGCCTGGTTCTACGGCGAGTCGGAGAGTGAAGTTTGAGCGAGACAGTTCACCTGAAAATCGGGCCCGATTCCAAGGCCAGCAACACCGACAACTTACAGTACATCCAGGGCTCAGTGGAGGAGTTGGGGCAGCGTGAGGCCTGGCCGGACAGCCTGACCTTCAAGGTGAACCTGGTACTGGAAGAGTTGGGGCTTAACATAATGACCTACGGGGCAACGGGTATGGACCGAGGTCCGGAGATCGACATCATCCTCATCTCTGAGGACGAATCTCTGACCATAGAAGTCTCGGACGACGGCCAGCCCTTCAACCCCCTTGAGGATGCTGTTGAGCCTGACATCGACGGCCTGCTGGGTGACAGGGAAATCGGCGGGCTTGGCGTCCATCTGGTCCGGACTATGATGGATGACCTTTCTTACCAGCGTGCGGCAGGCAAGAATCGCCTCAAGTTGGTCTCCAAGAGAGAGTGAATCCGGAGACCAGCATCGCCATTGTCTGGGAAACGTCTTCAGGACCGCGTTTCGATGAACGCAAACTGGGGCCGTTTCCTTTAATTTTTCCGGCATGCTGCGGATTGCAACAGTGAATGGTAGCAACGGGAGACCGGCGTAAATGGGCCACGCGGATGCTCTGATGCGCGCTTCGGGACATTTCGGCTGGGTCCGGCTCGTCCTCTGCGTCGTTGCCCTTGCCCTGCTGGTTGCCGCACTGGCCTGCAATTCATCCGGCCAACCTGACGAAACCATGGCGCCTGCGGCGGAAACGGAGAGCACTGCCACTCCCGCGGAGCTGGCAGACCGCGGTGGGATAACAGACGACACAATCATCTTCGGCCAGTCTGCGGCCTTCAGCGGCGACTCGTCGGAGCTGGGGATCAACATGCGCCTCGGCATCCAGGCCGCGTTTGCCGAGGTCAACCGGCAGGGTGGGGTCCACGGCAGGCAACTGGAACTGGTCTCGCTCGATGACAGATACGAGCCGGAGCCCGCCGCCATCAACACCCGGTCCCTCATAGAGGATCACGGCGTGTTCGCCCTGATCGGCGAGGTTGGCACACCCACCTCCCGTTCGGCCACGCCCGTGGCGGCCGACGCAAGGGTCCCGTTTGTTGCCCCATTCACTGGAGCGGCATTCCTGCGCGACCGAAACTGGACCAATATCGTAAACCTGCGCGCCTCCTACAACCAGGAGACCGAGGAGATGGTGGAACGTTTCACCACCGACCTCGGCATAGAGCGCATCGCTGTGCTTTACCAGGATGACTCCTTCGGACGGGCCGGGTACAACGGTGCCCTCGCCGCCCTGGACCGCCGGGATATGGAACCCGTCGCGGTGGGTCTCTATCCCCGCAACACAACTGCCGTCAAGACGGCGCTCCTGGACCTGAGCAAGGGTGATCCCCAGGGAATAATCATGGTCGGAGCCTATAGAGCGATAGCCGAGTTTATTAAGTGGGCCCGCGAGACCAGCCTGGTGGATGCCGAGTTCATTACCATTTCCTTCGTGGGATCAAATGCGCTGGCCAAGGAACTCGGCCACGAAGGGGAGGGCGTATTCGTGACCCAGGTCGTACCCTTCCCCACCGACGCATCGCTGCCAATCGTCGCCTCCTACCTGAACGCCCTCTCCGAATTCGACATAATCGCGACCCCAGGCTTCGTCTCCCTCGAGGGTTATATCTCCGGGCGCCTCGCCATCGCCGGGCTGGAGCGCTGTGGCAGAGACGTGTCCCGCACCTGTTTTCTGGACAGTCTCCTGAATGGCGGAGAATTCGAAATCGACGGCTTCCCATTGAGCTATCTCGACAGGAGCACCGACAACCAGGGCTCAGATACTGTGTTTCTCACCGTAATCGGCTCCGATGGGAGGTATCATCCAATCGAAACCTTGCGGGACACTGTAAACTGACAGACTAGTCCTTCCACCTCATCCAAAACCTGGGGGACGTTGACGAACATGGACACTTTGAAACGTCTGTCCAAAACCCTCCGGGCCCTGGCGACAAGGGACACATTCAACCGGGTTTCCAGAACCTGCAGGGAACTGGCGACCAGGGAGGGCATGACACGCCTCCTGGCGCTCCGTTACCGCATCTCCACCCAACTCTACGCCGCCTTCGGCGTTGCCGTAGCTCTCACCGTGGTCGCCAGCCTGATAGGTTGGTTCAGCTTTGCCCGCGTGGGGTCTGCGCAGGCAGAGGTAAACGAGGGCAGCATCCCGGGAATGGAGGCCGCCTTTGGCGTTTCCGAATACAGCACCTCGCTGGGTGCCGCCGCCCCCCGGCTCGCCACTGCCAATACGCCCGATGAAGTGAGCGAGATATGGGACGGAATAAACACCGCAAGAGAACAATTCAAGGTGCAGCTCGACAATCTTGAAGAGGTGAACCGCGAAAGTTCCCAGCGGGTGCGGATTTATTCGGAGGCCCTTGAGACCTACATCGAGACCATCCGGGAAACCAAGACGATTGCTTTCGACCTCCACGAACAATCAGACATCCTGGTGGAGAATATGGCCTCGCTTCGCGGCGACCTAGAGCAGGACCTCATCCCGGCCGTTGACGAAAAACTGTTCTTCATCCTCACAGGCAGGACCGAACTTGGCGAGGGCATCGCCGATTATTCCGAGCACTTTTCCGAGGCGGAATTTGGCAACTACCGCCACCTGTCTGCCCTGCAGGCCGATACCAGCATAGCCCTGCAGCAGTTGTCCTCCGTATTCAGCATCTTCGACCCCACGCTGGTCGAAGCCCAGGAAGAGCGGTTCGAGTCCTCCATAGCATCCATCGAACGCAATCTTGCCGCGTTGAGCGACGAGGGGCTGGAAGCCACGCTCACTCCCCATTATGGAGGCCTGCGCGACCTCGGCCTGTCCCGCGATGGCGTCTTCGTGGTCGTGCGAACCAGGCTGCTGCTCGACGACGAGCTGAGCGTCCTCCTGGACCTCAGCCGACAGCAAACGACCAGCCTCTCCTCGGTGGTGGACGAGCTGGTGAAGTCCGCTGCCGCATCCGCACAGCAGGCCACCGAGTCCTCTGATCAGGCTATAAGCACCGGCACTACTCTTCTGCTGGTCATCAGTGTCATCAGCGTCATCACCGCTCTGCTGATCAGCTGGTTGTTCGTTGGCCGTGTGCTTTTGCACAGCATCAACATGCTCTCCGCACGCATGCGGCGCATGGCCGGCGGTCAATTGGAGGAGGTGGTGGTGGTCGACGGCCACGACGAGCTGGCCGAAATGGCTGCCGCCCTCGAGGTCTTCCGCAACAACTCGCAGGAGGCCCTGAGACTCAACCTGGTGGAGGAACTGAATACCGAGTTGGAGGGAAAGAACACCGAGCTTGAAACGGTGCTCGTCGACCTGCAGACGGCGCAGGACCAGATCGTGATGCGCGAGAAACTCGCCGCCCTGGGTGAGGTAACCGCCGGCGTCGCCCACGAGATCCGCAATCCCCTCAATTTTGTGAAGAATTTCTCGGAGAGCTCTGAAGAGCTCCTGGCTGAAATGAAAGAGGTTATCGACGAGGGCGGTGACAGCCCGGACGTGACACTGATTGCCGAAATTTCCACAGACCTCATCCAGAACCTCGAGCGCATCAGGCATCACGGCGACCGCGCCAACCGCATCGTCAACGACATGCTGCTCATGGGCCGCGGCTCCACCAACTGGCAGTCCATCGACCTCAACACCCTTCTGGTCGAGCACGCCATGCTCGCCTACCACAGCGCCCGCGCCACCGACAACGAGTTCCAGTTGACCGTG